TGTTTTCGCTGAGAGCGGGGACCTCCACCGGACCCGGCCTGCGGTCCCACATTTATCCCGATGTGAGCCGGTGAGCGCCGGGCAGCTGTGCGTGCATCATCAACACAGCGCCGTTTGGATGGAGGCTGCTTGTCTCGCTCGGGTGCGCGTTTAACACCGTTTGGGTGGTGATCGTGCGGGTCTGATTGACAACAAGTTATTTCGCTTACCGTGGTGTCACGTGAGCGTCTGGGCATGTGAAGGAGCGGCGGTGGGTTTAAAAAACCTTTATTTAAGGCCACCGGCTCTCTCTGTGTGGAGGATGTGTGTGTAGCGGCTGTGAGCTCATCCGAACTTACAGACTGGCTAAAAACAGGCATTTTGATCTTTGAAAAATCATTTATTTCACTTCCTGTTTCATTCATACACACATCCTCCGCAGACCGTCATTTCTTAAACCTTCTCCCTCGTGAGCTCTGCGGTTTGTTTGCCCCGAGCGCCGTCTGCAGGCGATCTCTGGGGAAACGCTGAAGTGCAGGCTGCCGGACTGAGGAGGGGTGGTCTCTGGCGGGCGGGGCTGGTGGTGGGGCTGGGCGAGACGAAGCTGCTGCTGCCGTGGAGCGTCGATGTTTCTGCCTCTGCTCTCGACGATCTCTCCAGCGGGCTGGGGGACGGGATGAGCCGCGCGGCTTGATGAGATGGCGTACCGCTTCCGACATCTCCTCCGACTGCTTCGAATTTGTGAGCATGGTCGTCAAGCTGCTTCCGAACAGCGCGTCCGATGAGATGGGGCCCTCCATCAGGTCCTTGTGCAGCTTTTCCGGCAGCAATGGAGAGTGACGGAGCCAGATGGAACGTTGGATTACCGTCATCCACGCTGCAATCCTCGACAGGCAAACCGTGGAAGCGGCGCACATGTTGAGGATGGCGTCTGCCGATTTACACAGGGAGCTCTTTGTCTCCTCCGGCAGGTCTGAGGCCTCCAGCCTCTTCGACATGCTAAATGCTAACAGCGCCACGTTGTTGTTAGCTGTGGCCTCCTGAAAAGCACACTGGTGGGCTCTGTTGGAGAGCGCGGTCGCCACCTGGTCGTGTTTCCCCGGAGGGACGGGACGCTTCTCCAGCCTGGACATCTTCGCTCCGAAGGCTTCCGCGAGGCTTGGCTCAAGGGGGGGTACCGAGGGATAGCCCCGCTCGGTGAACCCCTCCACTCTGGTGATGGGGGCGTAAGTGGAGACGGGCGCCCTTAACCTACCAGGACCGGCTGCGGCCTCGTTCCAGTACGCTGTCACCGCTGGAAAACGAGGCCAAATGGGATCAGGACGGCGAGCCGGCGTGGAGCCAAACCTTCCCGCAAGATCATCCGATCTGAGCGGGGGGGGTGAGGGGACGGAGAGCCCCTTTACGCTAGCAGCTTCCCGGATAATGGCGGGCAGCTCCGAGAGGAGCGCGCCCACGGCAGGGAGCGATGTTGTCGCTGAAGCGGGAAACCCCGGGGGAGTCGAGCATCCGCTCGGCCTCCCTCTTTCCAACACTGCACTCCCCGGGAGGGAACGAGCGTCGGGGCTGCTGCTAGCGTCACCGGTCCCAGAGGAATCATCCGATTCACTCCGAGAGCCGGCGTCGAAGAAATCCATGGCGTCGTCCAGCGAACAGTCTCCCGCCACGGACAGGCAGTCCTCGATGGTAGCCTTAAACAAGGCTGCTCTCCTCTGCCTTTCCTCCGGTGGAAGTTCGTCACAGAGGCGGCAGGAGGAAGCGCGGGCGACGTGGCGGGGACCCAGGCATCCCTCGCAGGTGTCGTGCCGGTCGAAGCTAAGCAAGTAGCCGGTCTTGCAGGAGGGACACAAGCGGATGGTGCTGGAGCTGGACATCTCGACGAAAGGTCAGTTGTTCTTTTATTGTATTAGCTTGCTGAAGAAAAATGGGAGCAGATTACCCGCTCTTAATGTAATTTATACGGATCGGGTGGGGCCACACAGCAGGTGGGCGTGGACTAATTTTTTCAGTATGATGCTTGCGCATAACGGGATAAACCCACTAAGCGACAGCCTTAAAGGGCGAAGCCTATATGAAATAGAACAAGCACATATTTATGTAGACAAGCTGCAGACGGGGGAGACGACAGCGGTCAGCAATGTTCATAGATGCTCTTGAGGTCACTGTAAGAGTTCTGATAAGGATGGAATAATCAGTCAATGTCCTCCGGTGAGATCCATAAACATTCTCGAGGTATGTCGAGGAATGGCCAAGAATAACGTCTATGAGAATCCAAGAGTCCTGAAATGATGACACAAAGTTTATTCAGCTGGTTTCATCTGGTTATCAGTTGGGAATTCCTCAGGGAGGGGGTGGTGAGCGTCAGCTCACATGTTCTCCAGGCAAATTCAGATAAAGTGGCCTTCAAGGCCAGCAAAGGGGGGCAAATTCAGATAAACACACAGTTGTTTTGGGGACAGGCAGAACTTAATGACATCTACCTTGAGTCTGTGTTGGTCCACTCAGTTCCGAAATGTCCAAAATACATGGCCACACCAATGGAACGTGACTGAGTAAAATCCCCAAGATCTGATCCATTCTGCCCAAAGCATTTGAGTCCGGGTACTCCAGACATGAACCAAGCCATCATAAAGGCAAGCAGAGGGATCAGGTCCAAATTTGCTGCCGACGACTTCCTTGATTGTAGATAAAACCAGCAACCAGCCAAATCCAAAAAGCAGGAACCAGTTATCATAAATCCAATTAAATATGCATCCTTAAAATCCACAGATGGCAGCAGAGATAGACACATCATCAAGTCTTCCAGTCGATGAGATATCCAGCTGCGTGCGTGCCAACAGGGCAAATCGGTTTGCCTAAAGCCTGTCTTCTCTTCGAAGAAATTTTATCAATTGAGTTGAGGGACCAACTGATCAAAACAGGTCCATAATTATGGTTTGGAAGATATGAAGAGAGTCTCAGAAGCAGTTTCACAGACAGACAGAGCAGCAAAGCAAAGCGGAGAGGGAGGGGAGAAGCATCCGATCTCGGCAAGAGCAAGTGGTGAAGTGATCATCATCATGGAGGGCTTTCATCTGGTCCAGGACTTGTTGACAATATCAGTTTTAGCTTTTTCATAAAGTGCTGCTACAACTTTTTGGCTGAAGTGTTGACGTGATGGGATGTCGCAGTGGGGCTCAAGAACTTTAATCATATGCTTAAAGCCGACGCATCAACAACAGAATATGGTCATAGATCCAGAGCTTTAAAAACTCCTACAGCTTGTGTTATTGCTTTAGACCGATCTGAATTACCTGATAAAGGTTGTTTAAATGCTGCTGTTATTGGTCTTTGCACCAAGCTGCTATTCTGCAGAAGAGACGTTCACATTCGGATGATGTCGTTTCAAGTACGTTAACAAGTTAGACGTGTTGCCTGCTGCAGATCCAGTCTCCGTGAAACAACGTCGACACACAGCTTAGGATTTGTTCACTTGTCTTAACAAGAAAGCCATAATGTTCCCAAACAGGAGACCGCAACGACATGCTAGGCTGCTAATGCTACGCGTGCTGCAAGACTACGCAACAATAAATAGCGCCGTGCTGAAACACGCTTAGGAACGTTAGTTACGCGGTGCATAATCTCTCGTTAATAAAATTTAATGAGTGAAAAAATAACCGAAACGGTACGCACGTGAACCAATCATACTATCCCGAAATGGTTCAATACACCCACGTGTACGTTACACCCCTATTGGACACAGAGCTCCATGAACAGCCAGCCACTTTAGTAATGACCTTTTCAACTCAATTCAATTCTTCTGAAAGATCTGCCTCCCATTCTGCTTTTGTGTCTTGCCCTCCTTGTGCAAGGTGTCAAAGGTCGTCTTTTGGACAACTGTCAGTCAAACAGTCTTCCCCATGATGGTGTAGCCTCCAGAACTAGACTGAGACCATTTAAAGGCCTTTGCAAGTGTTTTGAGTTAATTAGTTGATTAGAGTGTGGCACCAAGTGTCTTCAATATTGAACCTTTTCACAATATTCTAATTTTCCGAGATACTGAATTTGGGGTTTTCATTAGTTGTCAGTTATAAACATGAACATTAAAATAAAAAAACATTTGAAATATATCTGTCTGTGTGTGTAATGAATGAATATAATATACAAGTTTCACTTTTTGAATGGAATTACTGAAATAAATCAACTTTTTCACGATATTCTAATTTTATGACCAGCACCTGTATATTATTGTAGGAATCCCAGTTGTTTCCTTCCTCAGCTTTCCTACACCAGAGGGCGCCAACATAAACACACCTGAGATCCATCGGGACTACAGTAATGAGCTTCAGGAGGTGACTTCAACCAGATGCTGTCTGCCTGACAGTAGTATGCTCCTGGCCTGAGAACTACTCTGTGATTTGTAAAAGCTAACCTTTTGTCTACGTGTTGTAGTACTGACTCCTGCTCCACCTGTGCCTTGGATCTCCTGGTTTCCCCTCTAAAGGCTCCCTGTGATCTCCTACACCGCTCCTTGCCTCTCACCACTTGCCTCACCGAATGAATCTCTCTGGAACCACCTTACTCTTTGTCTCTGGAACCATTCGGACCTTCGCCTCTGTGACCATCGCATTTTATAACCATAAAAAACTTACTGGACCGTGTCTCCTGCCTGTGGATAATAAGATTCTCAATAACTCTGCTCTTTGCTCTCCAGGGTTCCAGTCCCTCTCTGTTGAGTCATCACATTGTTCATTCATTATTGTAAATAAACACTGTTAACCTTTTCTCCGATCTTGGAGTTGATTATTTTCGGTTCTTTACTAGCTGGGTTTTATACTAGAGCCTTACAATTATAGTGCATTAAACCTGCGACTGAAAAATCCAACATTTATTATATTTATGGTTGTTTTAAATGCTATTCTGTTGATAAATGCACTAATATTAATATTTTACCATCAGCAAATACATTTAGATACGTTAAAATACTTAAATACTCAGTTGTCACAAGCATTAAGTAAAAAAAAAAAAACCTTTGTGCCTACTTGGGTTTCCCACAGGAGGTCTTCAGAGTTGTTGTCTTCATCACTGCAGCTGTCTGTCCACGGCTCACACTCCTGAGGAGTTCATGACAAAATCTGTCAACACAACTCTTTATTGTTTTCTTCACCCCACAAAAATCGGCTAACCCCAATCTGCCATCAGTATATAAAGGATATGATTACAACTACAGATTGTTATATTTTAGTTTAAAATTCAGAAGATAATTTGAACAAATGTATTTCTAACATTCATATTGTGAGACATCTATGCTCTTATTTTGCTTTTTGTCATCAGAACTGTCAAATAAACTTAGCAATAGTTGAATTACTTTTAAATTTAGTTTATTGTTTTTTTGTCATATGCAAGTTAATACAAGGTCAACAATGCAATGAAATGTTCAGGATGTGGAGAAATGATTTGACTCACTAAGAAAAAAACAAACAAAATATATGCAATAAAGTACAAAATAAAGTACCAAAAGTGAAAAGAAATATAATATTTTCAAGGTCCAAAAGAAAAATAGTAAACAACAACATGGCAGAATTACAACAGTGCAAGTAGGATGAATTAGTATAAATAAGTATTTCGCAGATTAGCTTAAATGCACATGGTATATATTGCACAGGTTGTGTGAAAATCTGTTAAAATAAGTAAAAACTGAAATTCATGGACTCACCATTAATGATGGTCGCCTTCAGCAAAATTCAACAAACGTGTTCATGTCACGCTGACTGAAACAAATCAGGTATCAAAGAAACAGGAATTTATATGTTTGCACATTAACGTGGATTGAAGATTATTGTTCTTTTGTTTTTTTCACCTCGATGTTTTAAGAGACATGAAGAAAATACAATTCACTGAATTAGTAAACTAAGATGAGTTGGTTTTATTAATAGTCAAATCGTTCTTACCTTTCCTCTGGAAGAAAACACATCTCCACAAGATTCAAGCAAACAATAAAAATAATAATCACATGAGAAACAAAAGGTTTCCACTCGGGTGTCACCTGGATAGCAGCAACACGAGCACTCCAGACTGTCAGCGCTGTGGCGTGTCTGCGTCTCTGTTGTGACCCGCAGAGATCCACCTGTTCAGTCGGACTTTAGGTCACATGACCGGCTGCAGCGTCTCAATAATTCTCAGACCACCTGCTCAGATTAACGCGGTCCTGAGCGAGCAGGAGCTCAGACACAAGATCTCAATGACAGGAGGAGTTTCAGTAAGTTTTTTCTGCAGGATCTTTGCAGGTAGTTTGACCTGGGATGGGTTCATACGTCACATTTAGTCAGAGTGTTTGATTTGTCCAGAATGTCAGGCACATGAATCGGTTTTAAGATCCTGATTAGAACAAAGAGCCGTGGTGTCAGAGTTGATGGATGGTCGTTCAGACAGTGTTTGACATCTATAAGTCTCCCTGCCTGTCTGCTGCATCACAGCCTGACCTTAATCAGCAGTTAGCCTTGTTAGCAGTGGCCTGCTGCTCTGCAGTCTGGGCCCATTAAACACGTCTACAAACGTCTTCTCGCAACAAGTGCCTTTATTCACAGTAATCCACTTAGATGGGTGTCTGTGGGGACAGAGACAGAATGTCATAAATTGTTCTTGTTCACAGGACCAATTTAAGTACAGCCATATATAAAAATAAGACAAAGACAAGAACATTTCAGATCAGGGGATTCAGCACAAGTCAGAGTTTCATGAGTTTCAACATTTAGTTGGGTTTATTATCTGAACAAATGCTAGACAAATTGGTGAAATAATGTTTTTATCTCTTTTTAATATTTCCTTTCTGAGTTAAATTATGAATGAAAAGTTCACAGAAGTGAATCTAGAGCAGAGGCATCAAACTCACAAATAGGGGGCCAAAATTAAAACCAATTTCAGAAACTACATTAACTCAAATCATACACCAACATCTTTTCTTGGTCACAGGTTCCTCAACAAGAGTTTGATTGGTCTCATTTGATGTTTTCTGTTGTGCTTTCGACATCATAATCAATGATTACTGAAAAAATTCAAGAAAGAAAGTATTTTACATTACACATATCAGCTTGGGGGCTATATATGATGTCATCGAGGGCCACATTTGGCCCCCGGGCCTTGAGTTTGACACATATGATCTAGAATAATTTGGTTCTCAAACTTTTCAGATTTTAAAACCATAGAAAGGATTCCAACTCAGATTTTTGTTACACTTTTAGCAACCACCTAGATGACAAAACAAATAATCAACAAGCTCTGAACTCGTTTTATACATGGCAGGGTGGCTTCTGGGTAATACCAGATGGCTAGGCCTCAGACTGACGAAGCCTCTTGGATGAGGGGCGAAACGTTTCTTTTTAACAAAAAGCGAAGTCCAGATGACATGATTCAACCTTTTTTGTTGTTATATACCTGGATGACTGAGAAAACAAACTTTGTACATGGCAGATGTTTTCATCTCTTATAATCATTACCATAAAACTACTGTTGGTGATTATTTATCATGTAAATTATAGCTGGAGATCATTTGAAGACACCTGGGTTTCACTGCTCACAGTGGAAGCTTGACCTCATCTTTAGGGAGAATTATTCCAGTCTGGGTAAGGAAACACATGTATCCTAGTATATGTAACTTTACCTTTAAAACTTTCATATAAATTTAAATTTTTGGCTTTAAATGTTCCCCTATGCTTTGAGTCATTGATAATCCCTTTATATTAAGACAACAAAGCAGTTTTCATTCATTCACTCATTCATCCAAAGTGTTTTTAAGGTCAGCAAGGTGTCAGTGCTCCTACCAGGTAACATGTCAGCAGTTCAGCTCCTTGCAGCTCAGGTGTGCTCTGCAACTTTGAGGCACTTCAGCAAGAGGGCGCTGCGGCCAAGCTGTTGACAGGACGACAGATCTGCAGAGCATCGCATGCAGTTTACACAACATATGCAAATGAAACTCATGTTGCACTATGAAAACCTAGGAATAAATTAATGGATATATATTTATTATTAAAATCTGTTTAATTCATGTTCATTGCGCTGTGCTACAATGCTAAGAAGACTAGCTTCTACGTAAACAGGAACAAATTAAACTTTTACAGCTACTTTTTTTATTTCTGTCTTTCTGTGTAGCAGCGTCAGGGGTCATGTTTTGTTACCGTCTCTTCTCATGAAAAAAACAAACATAATTTGCTGCTACAGTGCAGTACATGGTGCAGTACATGGTGCAGTACATGGTTCAGTACATGGTGCAGTACATGGTTCAGTACATGGTGCAGTACATGGT